GGGCTCGGCGTGGTGGCGGCGGCGGCTCGGCTCTCGGCTGCCTGAGTCCCGGCCCCGCCCGGCGCCAGCATCACAGCCAGCACCAGGACGATCACCAGCACCGCTCCCCGGGCCCCCCCTGCCAGGATGAGCTTCCATTTCCGGTTCGCCCAGCGCTGCTTCTGCGCCACCACCTTGGTCGTCTTGCTGAAGGTGGAGCTCTAGGAGGGAGCAAAGCGACAGCTCTCAGGTCCCCGCCCTCAATCCCCGATGGCCCGCCTCCTGGCGTGCTGGTCACGCCTCCCCCTGCTGGCCCGCCTCGGAACCGGGCAGCTGTGTGTCATGGGCGGGGCCAACAGAATCGCCAGGGCCCTGGTATGGGGAAGGGGCGGGGCCTCAGGCAGAAGGGGCGGGGCTCAGCGCCATGCAGATGGACAGCCAGCCCTGAGAGCTGCCCCTTTGAAATCAACAGGCCCCAGGGCAACTGCCCCTGTACCCCTCTTCCGCGGGCTTGGGAGCTATTGGGAACTCCCCTGCCGGCCACACAGTGGGAGCCCGTCTCCACGCCCTGGGGCTTGGGTTCGCTGCCCCAGGAACGCCCCAACCTCCGTACCATGACGCGGAGCTCGTCCGCCCGGTTGTCCAGGTCGCTCAGCTTGACCTCGCGGTCCAGCACCTTGGAGTAGTTGTCCAGCATGATCTGAGTCACCTCCTCGGCATCCTTCTGGCATCTCTCCAGCTTCTTCTCCACCTGCGGGGTGGCCAGGGTTCAGGGGTGCCCGGGCTCTGGCTGTCCGGGACCAGGGCAGAGGGCAGTGCCAGCCCAGTGGCCTCCAGGAGGGGAGCGGAGCCCAGGGGGAGCTTGCTGGCACTAAGGCTTAAGTCCCTAGCACCTGAGCCCTGCCAGGCCACGACTCCGGGGGGCAGGGGAGCCCCCTCTGCACCCACCCAGGCAGCAGCCGCTTCCCACCCTGCAGTGCCACTTGCCTTGGCCCAGCCACCCCCCGGTGACGGAGACCCACAGCTCCAGTGCCCTCTGGCCCAGCCTCCGAGAAGAGGGATGTGAACGGGTAACCGGTTAAGCACCATCCTCACTGGGTAGCAGGTAACCAGTGTCCAGGGTAGCAGGTAACCAGTGTCCAGGGCAGCCGCCAGCCCTGCGCGGGGCTGAGAGCGGGAGCCCTGCGGGCTGGGGGCTGTTCCAGCCAGGCTGAAGCAGCCCCCCCAACCTGGGAGCCTGCCTAGTCGGTTACACATTAGGCCAACCTGCTGTTTACCTGACGAATCAGGATTTCTCATCCCTGGCTGGGGCCAAGGGGGTTAAACGCAGGCACAGCACCCGCGGCCCAGAGGCCAGTCCCTGTCGGGCTCAAGGACCAGCCCAGCCTTCCTTACGGTGCGTGGATGGGAGGATTCTGAGAACCAGGCGGCCGGCAGGGCCTGTGGGTGCCCTGCCCTGGGCGGCTGCGTGGTGTCTGCAGACTTAGGGCTCTCTTGCTTCCTTTCCCCTCTAATTGAGACGCCTCCCGCCCAAGAGGCCCCGTCAGCTCTGTGTGGGCGGTGCAGGGCCTGGCAGAGAGGTGCTGGCACAGCCGCCCCCTCCCCCCACTGCCACCCCAGGGGAGGCCCCCTCCCGCCCCCGCCGCC